TGTAAAAACTGTCCTGGATTGATAGACTTGAGCTTTGTATTTCTTTTCAAAGCTATAGATTGATACACCCCATTCTCTTTTGCTTCTTGCTTTTGCTTCATCTGACACAGCTAGTTCAAGTCTATGGTTCATACAGTGCCATACAAAAGCTTTGGGAATCTCAATGTCAACCTGGTTGCTACTCCTGACTTTTTTCCTAACATGACGCTTGCGCCATCAGTCACAAATGCTACCCAGTTTTCAAGAAGCCATTCTTCTGTAAAGCCAGCATTAGTTAAACAAGTGAGTAAACCCTCTACTATGCCATCTGCTCACTGATTGTCCAGTTCAACAAGCTCAAAGAATATGAATTCAGGGCTTTCTTCTTGGAAAGTCCTGAAAGTATCGCCTGATACTTTAACTGAAACTGTCATGACAGCTTTGTGACTTAAAGAAGAGGCCCTGTCAATTAAGACGGCTAACTTACTCAATGATGGCGTTATTATGCTAGTGATGATTTCGCTCTGCATCTCATTGGCAAAATGTTTGATTATTTGTGTTGCACTGTAACCTGAATGAAGTATTGAGCCCATCTTTATACCATTCAATTCCTGCAGCTCAATGAGGCTTTTGTGGTCAGAAAATGGTCTGTTCTTTTTGGCCAAATGGTAGGCTGTTCGAAACACAGCTTCGGTTTCCTTCATGTAGGACTCAGTCATAGCCTCCACTGCATTCTCAATGACCGCTTCTTTCTGTTGTTCTCTCATCTTCACAACTTGATTGTGCGCCTTAACAAAGCATGTTTCCTCACCTTATTTCTTAAGACTTGTCTCTCTACTTCCCTGGCGAGACGCTTGAATTTCAAAGTTCATCCATTATTTTGAGAGAGATACACCTTGCTCCTTGATGATCCCAATGGAGTTCACACTGCTACAGACCAGGCACCCTGTGAAGCATAAACAATGTAACTACTGTATTCATATTTGTATGTGTGTAGTGTCCATTTCTCCCACACACATACAAGCACACAAACTGTATATTTATCTATGTCCACTGTTTTAGAAGCTGCCAAAACTAACAATCTACCTAAAGTTATCCATTTTTTTGTTTTTGTATCCAAACCAAGGGTACTTGGATTTAAAATGGTCTTTTTGTTTGGCTGTCCAAAGGTCTGGGCAGTCATTATTGGTATCTACATAAAAAATAAAATTAAATAAACAACACAACAACATGAGTGATTGAATTATTATGGGCTATAAATGTAACTATATAAATGTAATTACAGTTTTTTTCGATTGCTAAACGACAGTAAGCACAACTGGAGCTACATGTGCAAAACTCTAACTACAGTCTGCACAGCAGCAGTTCATGTTGACCAAACTCTAGTTCGTTTTTCATTGCTTGAACACAGTTTTCAAAACTCTACACACTTATCCCATGACTTTAACCTCAACCTGCACAACACTGTGGATTTACAGCACTTTGTTCAAATGCTAACACACTGCTGTCAAAACTGTGAACCACACATTCAAAACAGAATAGATTTCAGCCTTGTGCCTTTCAAACACTGCTGACTGCACTTTCAGCTGAACGGCTGGAAACCTGTGGCCTGATGCTGGAGAGAGGCAGGATTAGCCCCTCAGTTATTTGTTCAAATTACAGTATGTTCTTTTAGTTTCTACCTTTTTTTTCTCATTACTGTAATTCCGTAAATTACTACAGACTATTGAAGCAAACTGGTAATTTTCATTTACCTTATAAAGAATTGTTATGTTCTAAAAATTTAAATAAATCATGTGAAAGAATGTTACTGTTTTCTTTGAAAAAAATATTACTTTGTAAGAAGTCACTGAAATTGTTCAAACTGTAAAGATGAAAAGTTTGTATTTTCTGTATTGGTGTTTGATGCTAGTGTTTTTACTCTCAGTGTGTTCTGAGTGTGTGTGTGTGTGTGTGTGTGTGTGTGTGTGTGTGTGTGTGTGTGTGTGTGTGTGTGTGTGTGTGTGTGTGTGTGTTATCTCAGTGAGGGTTGTGCATATGTTTGGCTGCACCGAGCCTGTTTTGAGCCATGTGTTAAGAGTTGTGTTGCTTGGAATGAGTTTTGCAGGTGATGTGAACTGTTTAGCTCAGGTGACTGTTGGTAGTGCAGGCTGTAGTTAGAGTTTTGCACATGTAGCTCCAGTTGTGCTCACTGTCGTTTAGCAATCGGAAAAAAACTGTAATAAGAAAATAAGAAGTACCTGTTTTTTTCTGCCCACAGGTAGTGTTACCAGACAACTGTGCCTTCAACATGGTCTCTTGATAAAAATTATAAAAAAATACTGAATAATCACTTTGTGGGACATTCAAAATATATTGTTGACTGGTTGGCAGTCGGCCAATGAAGTAACTGTAGCGAAAGTGTTGGGGAGATTCCAGAAAGAGAAAAGGGAGGAGAGCATCTGTAAATGAGGTCATCGGTTAAAACTGTATAAAAGTGTGAGCTGCGAGTGAGATAGTCAGATGTCCTGCAGGCATCTCGGCTTTGTTCAAGTCTTGTTTTGACTTCTGGAACTCTGCCTCTTGAGCTTCATTTGCAAGAAAGAGATGACTTTTCTCAATAACATAAAGTTGGCGAATGACAGCCAGGAGCGGTCCGATGCCTGACATCGATGAGAGCCGTGGCTGGTGGGACTTGGCAGATCACGCAAACAAAGGCTCTTAGGTAAGAGCAAATTTTTGTCTTATCAGTCTTATCGGTCAACATTCTATTAATTTAAAAATGTTTGCATGATCTGCTGGGTCAAACTTGTGGCAGTGATCGGAGAAAGGGCTTCACCAAATCGAATCTAAAACAATTAATGATGGAATAGAGGATAAGGAGTTCCAGATTTCAACCTGAGACACCTGAGAGGGGTGTTTAAAAATGGTGGATACCGCTTCCAGTCTTGAAAATAAATGTTTTTGTGACTGCTTAAGGATTCTGTGGCATGAAAAAAACTAGTACAAAAAATTAAACAACAACAAATATTTTTTTGGAATGGAAGACGAGGAAGTAAAAGAAATCAGAAAAATCACCCCTGAACGAAAAAAAACATGCCCAAAAATTGTCTTTGCCTAATGTTTGGACATCCAAATTGCCGACGCTGATCTAAACAGAAAGACAGCTATTAATAAGAAAATAAGAAGTACCTGTTTTTTTCTGCCCACAGGGAGAAATAAACAGTAGCTACGTTTCCATCCACACGTTTTTATCCGCATTAAGTGATATCGAATGAAAAATGCCTTATGGAAACAGTAAAATTCGATTGAATTTCATGAATATCGACTCAAATGAAATACGATCGGTCTCATCGGATTTTATCTTGATCGATATACGGCTTATGCGATAAACGCGGATGGAAACGTTATTATGGTGCAATACATTTTGCCTAGTAAAACTTTGTTCGCAAATGTTGGCTTGAATGTTGTGCAATTCGGTGAGAAAATGAATGGAAACACCTTAACATGTCTCAAATCAATTCGATATACCAATTTGATCGCAAAACAGTATGTGACGTCATTACGCACAGGTTTTTTATCCGCTTTAAAGCCGTTTGATGGAAACACACTTTCACCAGCTTTATTCGCATGAGGTTTTTTACCGAACTTCAGATAATTCGATTGACAAGTGGATGGAAACATGGCTAGTGATCGGTTGTCTTTTGTGTGTGAGTAGAGAAGGGATCAGCTTGTCTCTCTATCGTGGCTGAATTGTGTGTGTGTGTGTGTGTGTGTGTGTGTGTGTGTGTGTGTGTGCGTGTGCGTTTGAGGAAGGAAACGAGTGATACAGAGATGAAGAAGACATCCTTTCTAGTTCTGACTAGTTTATAAACCAGAAAGTGAGTAACCATTTCCAACATACACTTTGAACAACACTTTGAGAGATTTTATTGGTATGCAAGCTGGGTTTAGTAAGGTACACTAAAAAAGGTGTGAAACAAACGGTGATAATAATTATGATTATAATGACATCAACACCTGTAGAGATATCTACCAAGGTCAGGACATCAACTATGCAGAGATACTATAGGACAACCCTCCAAAAATGGGTAAAAAAGGCCAAAAATACTAAAAACAAAATGACCAGCTGAGGGAACATTTGATGTGGCTATGTGAAGAGAAACTGAATCATTGATTAAAAAAAAAACAAAAAAACATAAGGTCAAATTTAAGAGTAAAAAGGGAAGAACAGCAAGTACTGACTTTATTTTAAAAAGAGGGAGAAGAATTATAAAAAATTAGGAGACAGGGCAAAGGGAGATATAATGACACAACTGAAAGGAAACGGAAAGACCGCCTCCCCTTGCACCTGGCACCTTATGGCCCCTCAGAGAAACAGATGTCTGACATAACAGGAACTGTTTGTGTATTTGACTGTTAGAGTGCAGTGGGCCGCGAAGGATCGTGCGATGTATGAGAGGCCACTTTCTGTGCGCTCGCATTGGGTATGTGTCAGATGGCGCAATAACACAATTAACAAATAAGCCGCAGAAAACAGACTTATTGCGCTGAATAACTCTTTTAATGTCAAGCAAGTCTATACTCTGCTAAATGTATCGGCCTAAAACTTTGACTTTTCTAAACTTTTTGAAGTAGCCTATTAAAATCATTTAGGTATCGCCAGCTGTAATGCAGGATAATGAAGAAAGAGAGATAAGACACTGAATAATTACTTTGTGGGACAATCAAAATATGTTTTTGACTGGTTGGCAGTCGGCCACCTTTACAAAGAGAAGAAGATAGACAATTAATGAAGTAACTGTGGCGAAAAGTGTTGGGGAGATTCCAGAAAGAGAAAAGGGAGGAGAGCATCTGTAAATGAGGTCATCGGTTAAAACTGTGTAAAAGTGTGAGCTGCGAGTGAGATAGTCAGATGTCCTGCAGGCATCTCGGCTTTGTTGCTTTGTTCAATAAAGTCTGGTTTTGACTTCTGGAACTCTGCCTCTTGAGCTTCATTTGCAAGAAAGAGATGACTTTTCTCCACAACATAAAGTTGGCGAATGACAGCCAGGAGCGGTCCGATGCCTGACATCGATGAGAGCCGTGGCTGGTGGGGCTTGGCAGATCATGCAAACAAAGGTGGTCTTATGAGGTAAGATCAAGTTTTTGCTTATTAATAAAAAAATGTTTGCATTTGCTGGGTTAAACCTGTGGCAGTGATCGGAGAAAGGGGTTCATCAAATCAAATCGAGAAAAATGTGTGATAGAATAGAGGATAAGGAGTTCCAGATTTCAAAAGTGCGCATGCGTAGTGTAGATTAGGAATACTCTGACGTGGGAACAGCCAAGGGAAGTAAGGAGCCTCTTGGTAGGCGATAAGGGTGGCCTTACGGTGTTTACCACGTAAGAGTGCTCACACGTGCGAAATACCTGATAGAGGTGTAAGAGTATTTACACGCAAGAGGCGTGTGACACCTGAGAGGGGTGTGAGAGTATTTACACGCAAGGGGCGTGTGACACCTGAGAGGGGTGTGAGAGTATTTACACGCAAGGGGCGTGTGACACCTGAGAGGGGTGTGAGAGTATTTACACGCAAGAGGCGTGTGACACTTGAGAGGGGTGTGAGAGTATTTACACGCAAGGGGCGTGTGACACCTGAGAGGGGTGTGAGAGTATTTACACGCAAGAGGCGTGTGACACCTGAGAGGGGTGTGAGAGTATTTACACGCAAGAGGCGTGTGACACTTGAGAGGGGTGTGAGAGTATTTACACGCAAGGGGCGTGTGACACCTGAGAGGGGTGTGAGAGTATTTACACGCAAGAGGCGTGTGACACTTGAGAGGGGTGTGAGAGTATTTACACGCAAGGGGCGTGTGACACCTGAGAGGGGTGTGAGAGTATTTACACGCAAGGGGCGTGTGACACCTGAGAGGGGTGTGAGAGTATTTACACGCAAGAGGCGTCTGACACCTGAGAGGGGTGTGAGAGTATTTATACGCAAGAGGCGTCTGACACCTGAGAGGGGTGTGAGAGTATTTACACGCAAGAGGCGTGTGACACCTGAGAGGGGTGTGAGAGTATTTACACGCAAGGGGCGTGTGACACCTGAGAGGGGTGTGAGAGTATTTACACTCAAGAGGCGTGTGACACTTGAGAGGGGTGTGAGAGTATTTACACGCAAGGGGCGTGTGACACTTGAGAGGGGTGTGAGAGTATTTACACGCAAGAGGCGTGTGACACCTGAGAGGGGTGTGAGAGTATTTACACGCAAGAGGCGTGTGACACTTGAGAGGGGTGTGAGAGTATTTACACGCAAGGGGCGTGTGACACCTGAGAGGGGTGTGAGAGTATTTACACGCAAGGGGCGTGTGACACCTGAGAGGGGTGTGAGAGTATTTACACGCAAGAGGCGTGTGACACCTGAGAGGGGTGTGAGAGTATTTACACGCAAGGGGCGTGTGACACCTGAGAGGGGTGTGAGAGTATTTACACGCAAGAGGCGTGTGACACCTGAGAGGGGTGTGAGAGTATTTACACGCAAGAGGCGTGTGACACTTGAGAGGGGTGTGAGAGTATTTACACGCAAGGGGCGTGTGACACCTGAGAGGGGTGTGAGAGTATTTACACGCAAGGGGCGTGTGACACCTGAGAGGGGTGTGAGAGTATTTACACGCAAGAGGCGTGTGACACCTGAGAGGGGTGTGAGAGTATTTACACGCAAGAGGCGTGTGACACCTGAGAGGGGTGTGAGAGTATTTACACGCAAGAGGCGTGTGACACTTGAGAGGGGTGTGAGAGTATTTACACGCAAGGGGCGTGTGACACCTGAGAGGGGTGTGAGAGTATTTACACGCAAGGGGCGTGTGACACCTGAGAGGGGTGTGAGAGTATTTACACGCAAGGGGCGTGTGACACCTGAGAGGGGTGTAAGAGTATTTACACGCAAGAGGCGTGTGACACCTGAGAGGGGTGTGAGAGTATTTACACGCAAGGGGCGTGTGACACCTGAGAGGGGTGTGAGAGTATTTACACGCAAGAGGCGTGTGACACCTGAGAGGGGTGTAAGAGTATTTACACGCAAGGGGCGTGTGACACCTGAGAGGGGTGTGAGAGTATTTACACGCAAGGGGCGTGTGACACCTGAGAGGGGTGTGAGAGTATTTACACGCAAGGGGCGTGTGACACCTGAGAGGGGTGTGAGAGTATTTACACGCAAGGGGCGTGTGACACTTGAGAGGGGTGTGAGAGTATTTACACGCAAGGGGCGTGTGACACCTGAAAGGGGTGTGAGAGTATTTACACGCAAGGGGCGTGTGACACCTGAGAGGGGTGTAAGAGTATTTACACGCAAGAGGCGTGTGACACCTGAGAGGGGTGTGAGAGTATTTACACGCAAGGGGCGTGTGACACCTGAGAGGGGTGTAAGAGTATTTACACGCAAGGGGCGTGTGACACCTGAGAGGGGTGTGAGAGTATTTACACGCAAGGGGCGTGTGACACCTGAGAGGGGTGTAAGAGTATTTACACGCAAGAGGCGTGTGACACCTGAGAGGGGTGTGAGAGTATTTACACGCAAGGGGCGTGTGACACCTGAGAGGGGTGTAAGAGTATTTACACGCAAGAGGCGTGTGACACCTGAGAGGGGTGTGAGAGTATTTACACGCAAGAGGCGTGTGACACCTGAGAGGGGTGTGAGAGTATTTACACGCAAGAGGCGTGTGACACCTGAGAGGGGTGTGAGAGTATTTACACGCAAGGGGCGTCTGACACCTGAGAGGGGTGTGAGAGTATTTACACGCAAGAGGCGTGTGACACCTGAGAGGGGTGTGAGAGTATTTACACGCAAGAGGCGTGTGACACCTGAGAGGGGTGTGAGAGTATTTACACGCAAGAGGCGTGTGACACTTGAGAGGGGTGTGAGAGTATTTACACGCAAGGGGCGTGTGACACCTGAGAGGGGTGTGAGAGTATTTACACGCAAGAGGCGTGTGACACTTGAGAGGGGTGTGAGAGTATTTACACGCAAGAGGCGTGTGACACCTGAGAGGGGTGTGAGAGTATTTACACGCAAGAGGCGTGTGACACTTGAGAGGGGTGTGAGAGTATTTACACGCAAGGGGCGTGTGACACCTGAGAGGGGTGTGAGAGTATTTACACGCAAGAGGCGTGTGACACTTGAGAGGGGTGTGAGAGTATTTACACGCAAGGGGCGTGTGACACCTGAGAGGGGTGTGAGAGTATTTACACGCAAGGGGCGTGTGACACTTGAGAGGGGTGTGAGAGTATTTACACGCAAGAGGCGTCTGACACCTGAGAGGGGTGTGAGAGTATTTACACGCAAGGGGCGTGTGACACCTGAAAGGGGTGTGAGAGTATTTACACGCAAGAGGCGTCTGACACCTGAGAGGGGTGTGAGAGTATTTACACGCAAGGGGCGTGTGACACCTGAGAGGGGTGTGAGAGTATTTACACGCAAGGGGCGTGTGACACCTGAGAGGGGTGTGAGAGTATTTACACGCAAGGGGCGTGTGACACCTGAGAGGGGTGTGAGAGTATTTACACGCAAGGGGCGTGTGACACCTGAGAGGGGTGTGAGAGTATTTACACGCAAGGGGCGTGTGACACCTGAGAGGGGTGTGAGAGTATTTACACGCAAGAGGCGTGTGACACCTGAGAGGGGTGTGAGAGTATTTACACGCAAGGGGCGTGTGACACCTGAGAGGGGTGTGAGAGTATTTACACGCAAGAGGCGTGTGACACCTGAGAGGGGTGTGAGAGTATTTACACGCAAGGGGCGTGTGACACCTGAGAGGGGTGTGAGAGTATTTACACGCAAGAGGCGTGTGACACCTGAGAGGGGTGTGAGAGTATTTACACGCAAGGGGCGTGTGACACCTGAGAGGGGTGTGAGAGTATTTACACGCAAGAGGCGTGTGACACTTGAGAGGGGTGTGAGAGTATTTACACGCAAGGGGCTGATATTGAGTGTTTTTATGTTGGGTGCTGTGTGTGTGTGTGATATTAGTTGTCTCTGTGTTGGGTGTTAAAGTGTGTTGTATTAACCGTTCGTCTAAAGTACTAATTGTGCTGGCTGTGTTAAGTTGTGTATGCAAAGTGTTGAATATAAATGTTTTTGTGACTGCTTAAGGATATTTGGACATCAACCAAATTGCTGATGCTGATCTAAACAGAGAAACACGGCTAATAATAAGAAAATAAGAAGTATCTTTATTTTTTCTACGCACAAGTAGAAATAAACAGTGACTGGGTGACTTGTGACCACGCTCTGTGTGTGTGTGTGTGTGTGTGTGTAAGTGTGAGTGTGTGTGTGTGTGTGTGTGTGAGGCAGGAAACGAGGGAGACAGAGAGAAATCACCTTTTCTATAAACCAGAAAGTGAGTTGCTATTTCCAACATACACTTTGAACACCTTTATTGGTAACTGTCATCCCCACCAGTGGACCTGAAATAGAGGAACTGACTCTTTTTTTTTTTTAAATACCTGAGAAAGACTAATAAAATATCTTAATATTGTCTGACCATCTTGGTGAAAACTAGTTAAGAATAGATGCAAGCTGGGTTTAGTAAGGTATACTAAAAAAGGTGTGAAACATACGGTGATAATAATTATGATTATAATGACATCAACACCTGTAGAGATATCTACCAAGGTCAGGACATCAACTATGCAGAGATACTATAGGACAAAAAAAAAAAAAATAGGTAAAAAAGGCCAAAAAGCCTAAAAACAAAATGACCAGCTGAGGGAACATTTGATGTGGCTATGTGAAGAGAAACCGAATCATTGATTAGGTGAAACAAGGGAAAAGGTGAGAGCAAGTGCACATACTGTATAAGACATGAGGATGAAAGGGAAAAGGAGGCATCAAGCCGAAAGTGGGAGTCAAGAAAAGAGACGCAGAAGGCCATATGAAAGCCTAAAGAAAAGAGAGACATATAATGAAAGTTTGCCAGATATAATGAAGGAGTTAGAGCGAGACATAAGGACTGATGAATGGATAAAGAAAGGGAAGCCCTGAGAAAAGAGCTGGCAAAGATAGATTTCTGAAAGCAACAGACAATCATAGGTTAATCAAAGGTTGGAATAATAAACAGACAATAATCAAAGGTTAACTCAAAAATGTCCAAATCAAAATTTTCGAATGATTGGTCACACATACAGTTTTCAATAGGCCTAATTGGGTTTTTGTGAATTTAATTGTATCAGTTGTGGCAACAGTCTATTAACATGTGCTCAATCAGAAATTTGTTGAGCCAATGGATGATGCCAAATTTTATTTATCACTGTCCTAAAAGAAAAATGTATGAAAAACAAATACATTAAGCAAAATAGATAATGCAGATAACAAAGGATGACATCTCATCACATCACTTTGTTGACAGATCAATCCAACACAGGATATTTGGTGAAAATACTTTAATTTAAATAAGGAAAAACACTGAATACATTCAAGAATTCTTCTATGAATACAATAACAGAATATCTTGATGTGGTGAGGAAAACTTTCAAAAACGGCACTATATAGGCCTAGGTTAAAAACCGGCATACAAAAACTAACATTACTAATACAGTTCCCCTGCATCACATCTGGCAAGTGACAGAACAGAAGTTAGCCTACTTTTCAAACCAATGATGAAACAAGCAAGAGAAAAAACGAGCGAGAAAAAAAAAAAAAGTAAGTGGGAAGCCATAGATGATCCTCTCATTTTCCCATCGGCTGGGGGAAAAGTATTCAAAAACAGTTTACTAAGAGATCAAGTAGGATTGGTGAAATCTGTTAATCCAGTCAGAATTAAAAGTAGACTAATTTCATAATTACCAAGAAAACACCAATAAAAATAATTGATAAGAAATTAGCCTGAAAGAAAATAATAAAATTGCATAAATGTTAGTTGACCGGTCTATAGGGGAATTAAAATAAGCAGGCCCAACAGGGATTGGTATAGAGGATTGCACAAACTGGTGGCCATCAAAAATACTGGAGTTTTCTCCTTCGTATATGTGGTTTGTGCAGTTCCCAGAGGAAATTCAAATAATTGACAAAAAGGATTATAGAAATATCTGACATTTAGAGATACATATATATAGAGAGACATGCTAGATGTGGGTATGACGACCTGTTATATAAAGACTATGATAATGTATCTTGTTATCCCTGGGAGACAATTTGAAATTTGATCCATTGCAGGAATTCTGCGATTTTTGGATTGTGTAATTTAAAGTAACTTGTGCATTGTGTTGCATGAGCAGGATTGGGTGACCAAGCTAAACAGACATTTTTAACAGACATATATACACATTTTACAGAAATGTGTCTCATTGATTTAATCCTAAAAGCTTTGAGAGAGTAGGGATCAATATAACAAGTGATAAAAATACTATAAATGTGACTGAAAGTAAGGCAACCCAGACAGACTGAAACGCTGAAATTTTCTGCATTCTGCAAAGAAGAAAGACGCTTGCTCATTTCTGCAAAGAAGAACATTATATAAATTGTATGGGGAAACTGCTGTTGTCAACCAGATGATACTTTTGAAATTAAGAGACGGTTGCAGAATTTATAAAGGATTAATTTGATTCATGCGGATCTCTGAGTGTTCAATTTCCAGATGACACCAGACAGCTTTTGGGATATGGCTGCCTCGACATAAACAACAGCAACTTACTGGACTGTGCAACAAGTGAGAGCAAAAAACACAGGGACACAGCTGAAGAGAAAAGAAGAGGCATTTGGCTGGTGGGCCTTCGTCCCCCCTGAAAGAGGAAGTTGAAACTTTTATGGACAAAGACTGAGTTGATGCAGAAACAACCAAGTAAAACATCCTGCCATTATGCAAAATTGCCTCCTCCGTGGCTTGACCAAAAGCCAGGCTGAGGAGAGGCAGAGAGACAACAGCATCCAGAGTCAAACCACTATATGTCCCAACATGACGCCAGGCCCTTGAATGCCAACAAAGACTGACAGATCAAATGCATCGGATGAGGAGGGAAACACTCAAACAGCAACGCAACCAGTTCAACTGATCCAAGCAGAAGTACTTCATCCTTTCCTAAGTGGACACAGGTGATACGTTTTCAATGATCACTACAGAGACCGTTTTTTTATTGATTGGCCATATTAATTGTATTTTGATTATTCACTGGTCCAACAGCAGTTCTCTGTATTCTGTTAAGCTAACACTCTCTATTTGCTTTCTTTCAATAGACATTAGTCCAGCTGTAATTATTTCAAAAATTAAAAAAGAAAGAAAAGAGGAGGAGAGGTTGAGTGTTTGCGTGACTCAACTATCAACTAAAACTGGGGCTGGACTTAGCAGAGAGGGACTATTGCATTAACCAACTAGGGGTAAACGAATAATTGATGATGTTGTCCAATGACCAGAGAGATTTTTGGCTCTGCTTTAAAGACAGAGCTGATAAACTTGTATGATACTGAGCTCTCTATCAGGAAAAAAAAAAAGGGACATAATGTGTTCAACAAATAAAATGTGGATGATAAAGCTATGGGGCTGGTCACTCCATCTTGGTCAATAGTTCATTTTTTTAGGTTTAGAAATAAAATAGTAACTACAAAAATTACAAACTCGTGATATCACAAGTGCTGTCATTACCAGGGATTACGTGATGTCAATATTGTTGGTCATGAATTCGAGATTATGCTGAAATCTCGAGTCATTTAAAAGAGCAGCTCATAAGCAACAGAAGAAAATATTATGAAGAGAAATTAAATTAACGGATGAATGACAAATCAGATTAGAGACATTGATAATGGTTCTTTCAAACTACAGCATGTCCAACCAGATTATTTGATCTATTAGATATGGAAAAATGTTGGGTTTATGACATCAGTGTTTAACACAACCAAATGGCAACTGATATTGGCCAGCTGTGTTATTCCAAACATTTAGACACTGTCACATGGGGAATGCCACATTGCCTACATTCAGTAGCTTTTATCATCAGAGTTGTGTTACCAATTTAGAACGGATGGTATTCAAACCTTGATATTTAGGATGAATAATTTAATATAAAATTAAGTCTACATCGATAAGTCAAGAAGGCATAAACAAAATGCCTCAACTTCACACTGTTGGACATAGGAGATATAAAAGGACAAATGATTACACCAGCAACCATTTCTACTAGTTTAAAACAGTAAAAATAAAAACAGTCTATGATAGATGATTGATAGATAGCCGAATGCAATATTTGTGTTAAAAACAATGTCAGAAAAGGTGTGTATAGATTTGATTTGTCAACCATGGGGAATACCAGTTGAGTTTAAGCATAGAGATGAAGTAAATCAGGCTTTGAGTATATTTGTATGCATAACTTATAAAATGAAGAATGGGGGAATTACATTTATTGCAATCAACAGAACATTGAGAGCTTCGGGAGAGAACAGTGGCGGACCCATAAGCGACATGACATGGCAACACAGACAAACATTGGACAACACAAACATTACATTACATTAAATAGCCCCAGTAGTTGTTATTGTTGTGCTGTTGTTCTGTTGTGTTGTGCCTTTCTTCAGATCAATGATGGCCAATGCAGCAGCTAATCAGATGATTAATGTGTCTGTGAGGAGATCTGGAGTTGATGCACCAATATGTATCCAATGGGTCCTGGATTGGATGAACTGGACGAGATTAAATAAAACCCCTTAAGCAAAATGTGGTGGGGAAGGGGTGCCTTTTCTTTACTCTTTATTTTCAAATTTATTGTATTCTTTGGACAGTGAGGGAGTCAGAATACCCATTGTATTTTTCTTTTCTTCTAAAATGATTTAGCATGATTAGAATTGGGCTAGAGTAGGCAGGCAGTTAGAGGGTGTTATGTTTGTTATTTTGGCGTATACCCCTTCCTGAAGTCATTAATTATAATCTATTTATTAAAATCAAGATCCCCCTGAAAGTAAGGGGACGATGAAGGTCAGAAGCAGGTCATTGCCCGTGTTACGAGGTAATGCAACCAGATTTAAGGGGACGATGATAAAGATTAAATTCTTTATTTCATTTGTATGACAAATATAATTTATTGTCTGAGTCTATTTTGATTCATAGCTAGTACATGGGATAACCTCACAGTATAACAATCCGCTGTACAAAATATGATGCACCAGTGTTTTGCCAGTTTATCTCTTTTAATTCTTTTCATAACTGTATCCACTGTACGTCCGAATGATTGCACTGTATTCTTCCTTTTTATTCTAAACTGAACTCAAATGGCACTGAGAATTGGGTAATAGAGAAACATAAATCACTTAATTGGGGAAATTGAGAGATGAAACCATGCTGATGACCTGGGTCTGTGGTGGAGTAGTGAGTTTGATGTGTCAATTAAACTCGAGGTTCTGTGGGGTGCGGACTGGATCGACTCCATTCCTAGAGCTTCTGAACAAATGGGTTTTTTTGGGGTGCGGACTGATGGGGCAGTGACCCCGAGGTCAGTCCTAGAGCTTCCGAACAAATGGGTTTTTTTGGGGTGCGGACTGACGGGGCAGTGACCCCGAGGTCAGTTCTAGAGCTTCCGAACAAATAGTTTTTTTGGGGTGCGGACTGACGGGGCAGTGACCCCGAGGTCAGTCCTAGAGCTTCCGAACAAATGGGGTTTTTTGGGGTGCGGACTGACGGGGCAGTGACCCCGAGGTCAGTTCTAGAGCTTCCGAACAAATAGTTTTTTTGGGGTGCGGACTGACGGGGCAGTGACCCCGAGGTCAGTCCTAGAGCTTCCGAACAAATGGGGTTTTTTGGGGTGCGGACTGACGGGGCAGTGACCCCGAGGTCAGTTCTAGAGCTTCCGAACAAATTGTTTTTTTGGGGTGCGGACTGACGGGGCAGTGACCCCGAGGTCAGTCCTAGAGCTCCTCTTGTCCGATTATAGGGAAAAATCGGGTCCATCGGAGACGTCCAATGGAATTCTTAGGCGCGCCGAATAAACACCACAGACACAGTGTCAGAGTAAAACTATATGCAAAGTAAGAGACACCGGTGTTTTGCCAGATGAGAAGTTTATTCTATGTATCATCTTTTTACTACTTTAGTTTATTTTACTTTAATTCATTTTATAACTGTATCATTTATCTCTTTGAATAACTTTTATAACTGTTTTAATTTCCCTTGCTTTTATTTTGTGATTATTTTCTATGCAAAGCACTTTGAATTGCCATAGTGTGATATTTTATTTCCTTTCTATGTAAAGCACTTTGAATAACTGTTTATATTTTCTTGCCTTGAACGCAAATCAATTTTGAGAGTACTATGACAGCCAGAGACTGAGAAGGAAAGGATCAGCGAGCACCTCAGTGTTTAGCAGAAAGAGCAGACTCAACTGGTGGTTTAAAAACCCACGGCCTGCTCCAACGAGGGAGCACCCCCGGATAGCACCTCAGACTACCCTGAAGTAGATGAGGTACCTCTGGCAACGCAGGAGCACCCCAGATAGCGCTCCAGGCTACCGGAAACGTCTGGAGTTCCTCTGGCAATGTGGGAGAACCAGTGCATCAACATAGATATTCTTAAGCATCTTATATTAACCGGAATAAGTTTAATCACCGATGTATTCTACATATGATAACCATGGGCAATGCTCAGACATTCCATGCACATGTTTTAACACAAAATGTTGATTTGTTTTTTATTTTGTTGAGCTCCTACAATGTTTAGTTAGGGAGGCGGAGTCTTTTACACTGCTCTAGTAAAAATTGTGTGCAGCGATGTTTGGCTGCGACCTCTTCCGGAGTGCGGTTACTGTTGTGGAGTAAAGTCATCTCTTTCTTGCAAATGAAGCTCAAGAGGCAGAGTTCCAGAAGTCAAAACCAGACTTTATTGAACAAAGCAACAAAGCTAAGATGTCGGCAGGACATCTGACTATCTCACTCGCAGCTCACACTTTTACACAGTTTTAACCGATGACCTCATTTACAGATGCTCTCCCCCCTTTTCTCTTTCTGGAATCTCCCCAACACTTTCGCCACAGTTACTTCATTAATTGTCTATCTTCTTCTCTTTGTAAGGGTGGCCGACTGCCAACCAGTCAAAAACATATTTTGATTGTCCCACAAAGTGATTATTCTAAACTGAACTCAAATGGCACTGAGAATTGGGTAAGAGTCGAGACAAACATAAATTACTCTGAAATGTAAATTGGGAAATTGAGAGATGAAACCATGTTGATGACCTGAGTCTGTGGTAGAGTAGTGAGTTTAATGTGAAACTCGAGGTCGGGGACCTTGTCCAATAGATTACTGAGGCGCGCCGAAAGAACACCACAGACACAGTACAATCAACATGGGTAAATCTCACAGTAAAACAAGCAGCTGTGCAAAATATGATACACCGGGGTTTTGCCAGATGATACGTTTATGTTTGTATCATCTTTATATCTATTTTAATTCCTTTTATAACTGTTTTAATTTTCCTTGCTTTTATTTTGTGATTATTTTAATTCCTTTTAGTGTAAAGCACTTTGAATGACTATAGTGTATGAAATGTGCTATATAAATAAACTTGCCTTGCCTAAAATCCCATTCTTTCCTGTCTGACTACTCTCACAATAAGCTGACAAGATTTCTGAACGGGAAACCGGGGACATTTTCTATTTGAGTGGAAATTCGGTGGTATTCAGAAATCTCATTTGTAATTATCTAATCATTAAAAATGAGGACAATACATTTTTTGAATGTTTTTGTTTTTTAAATTGTTGTGGGTTCCCCATATTATTATTATTAACATTAATATTTATTGGAATGACTGCCTGTACGGTTCAGAATTTTGTAAAAGATTCTCATATTTGTTTTTAAGGCTCTTCACAATCAGGCACCTACAGTATGTACATGTCCAACATGTTATCAATACTCCTTGATATCAGAGAACCATCATCTTTTGTGTGTTAGTAGGGCAAAATACAAACATAAGGGTGACAGAGCTTTCCCACGAGTGGGGTCCAAAACTTTAGAATGATCTCCCCCTCTCTTTTAGATCAGCCAAATCAGGTACTTTCAAATTTAGGTTAAAATTACATCTGTTAAACGCTATGTGAGCACTCTCATAAAGGGGTTTCGATTGCAACTGTGTCTGTTTTATGTGGTTCTATGTATTTTTATCTCTATGTATTTATTGTTGTTGTTTTTTTTATTGTGAAGCACTTTGGGCAACTCGTGTTGCATTAAACTGTGCTATATAAGAATGAAGAAATGAAATGAAAATAATAATTATTATGATTTAGTTTGATTATTAGGATTTTTGGTCTGGCTTTAATACAATTCAATCACCGCAGCTAAAAAAACAAACAAACAAAAAAAACATTCAGAATGAAAACAGCTTATAGTTAATAGTAACCATTGTAAATAGCAAGCAGTTCAAAACAATATTATAACAAAATTATGACTTTACAAAAACCCATTACAAAAATATATGATAAAACTATTTAACAAATATTTTAACATTTTATAATTGTATTTAATATTTAATTTTCACAAGCTCTTTAGACTGTATACAAAAATTACATTTTTAAAAAAAAAAATTCAAATGTTTTGTTAGTTTGTGCTCGAAAATAACTCTGTCATGATCCTGGCTCTCTTTCTCCTTACTCTGTCTCCTGTCATGATCCTGGCTCTCTTTCTCCTTACTCTGGCTGTGTCTGAAATCTTCACTCAAACCACTACTCCCTAACCCCTATGAAGGGGGTAGGGAGTAGAGCACTATAGTGAGCTCACCAGCATAATAGAAACACCACTTTCGGACACTACTCAATCGTCTCTCGGCGCCGTTGATTACGTCATTACTGTCGCACTATTTAAACGCGCCATCATCTGTCAGCTGGTGCCGAGCCAGCTCTGGGCTAAATAGATTTTTTTATATATAAATACATTACATTATATTGAGCTTATTTCTCCAAAATTGTAAAATTAAAAGTAATTTCTGGCCGTTTCTGTTATAATGCGTTACTCCACACAGTGGCGGATTTAGCAAATTGGGGGCCCAAGGCGAAGGTAGTATGGGGCCCCCCATCCGATCTTTAAAAGAGAACGAAAAAAAAAAATTTAGAATTTTTTTTTTTTAAATAAACTATTAAATGGCACTTTCAGGAGAGTTTTGTGCAAAGAAATATAGAAAAAAAGTAGGTCTAGCAAGTCTTATATTTCTGTAATTCACAGAGGTCAAACACAAATATGGTGACTGAATAGATTGCTAGTTGAGAAACACTGCTTTAATTAATGTTTTTATGACGACTTTGTGAAAGGTTAACTAACGTTAAACAGCATGAGCCGTCTTCCAGCTGGCCAGTAAGTTATTTGGCAAATTTCATTCATACAGATCTGTATTATGCTATAGTTTTTGATAGTGTTATACATTTCTTACAGATAATCACGATGATCATTGCGTTTGTCTTACCGAATGTGGTAGCTTTATGCAATTACAGTTTGTCTATAAGCTTTTTTTTATTAATGCCGACAGTAAAATGTTGCCAGATATTGCTACGAAAACAAAATAATAATAATCCGAAATAAATTCAAAGCTTGTGGTTTGGAAATAAGATTAATATATCACTAACCCTAACATGCAACTTTCCACTTCAATAATTTCCTAAAGTGTCACATTAAATCAGAAAAAACAAGTCCAGAAGACTACTGCCACCTTTCCATTAGGTGGATCTGGCAACACGGAGGCTGCACGCGCGCCCTCACTCACAACGCACTCTCAAGCCCCGTTCACTGCGCTATAGCTTCTCGCAGCAACGTGCATTGCAAACACTCATATGAGGTGGTTTAAACGGCTAACTAATCATTCAGAGAGCTTGACATTTTATTTTTGAATGTAAAATATGACAGAGTTCCGGACCTCGGTCACCTCATAGCTGGCTACGGCCATGGACTTGTAACATATCGTTAGCACATACCGGGCATCACAAAAAAGTTTGTTACCTTCTGCAATTTTGCTAAAACCGTTTTGCTTTCCTCCCGCTTCCTGCTTTTTCAGCACCGCTTGGGTAGCTTCTCTGTCTGTCACTCTGACTCTGTAGCCTACACTGTCTGTCAATAACTTATTTTTCTCCGTCAGTTTTTTGGTGCATTAGCATTGTCACTTTCGCACGCAGAAAGTGATATAATGGAATAGTCCAATGTAGTGAGGTGGGGGGCCCCTCCTGTCTGCGACACTAATGATTTGATGCCTTTTTTTGCAAATGTTTTTTAGAAATATATAATTTGCGAAAAGTAAAAAATAAATAAAAACTTAAGCATAATTTAATGGGGCATTTTGGGGGCCCCTAGGTAGCTCGGGGCCCAAGGCAATTGCCGACCTTTGCCTAATGGTTAAGTCCGCCCCTGACTCCACACATGATTATAACTTATAAACATAAATAAAATGAATACACATATTTCATATATTTTCATTTTCGCGCCACACCGTTTTCTCTTGCCTGTCAACATTAGGAAAAAGAAAACAGATCTACGTCATCAAATATCTTGCTCATAATACTCTTAATAAAACAGTGTAAGACCATCCAAATAAGTGACAAAATAGCGCAAACATTTTCCTATTTACATGTTGTGATTTGTATAGTCACAGAGTGTACAAAAAACAAAGTCACATGAGACAGACATATTTTAACAGTATAAATACTGGGAACTATATTCTCTAAAGGCGAAGCACTGCTACTTGGGCGGAGTGATAACCGCAGCACCTGAGACGCGCCGTGGTGAGGAGCAGAGAGTTCGTTCAGAGTTTGGGTACGGTACGTCTCAGGTGCTGCGGTTATCACTCCGCCCAAGTAGCAGTGCTTCGCCTTCAGAGAATATAGTTCCCAGTATTTATACTGTTAAAATATGTCTGTGTCTCATGTGACGTAGTTTTTTGTACACTCTGTGACTATACAAATCACAACATGTAAATAGGAAAATGTTTGCGTTATTTTGTCACTTATTTGGATTAGTATGCTAGCTGCAACCATTAACATCCAGTCTTTGTGCTAAGCTAGGCTAGCGGTGGGTGCGTCAAACAGACTTATAGCACGCACGGAGATGAAAAAGGTATGTATGGACTTCTCTAACTCTGGGGGATAAGGTGAATAGGCTAAAGTCCCAAAAAGTCGGAGTGTTCCTTTAAAAGGAATAGTCAAACATTAACATATATTTAATGATGCACAGATATCATTGAAAACACTTTCATTTTATGGAGTCAGATGAAACGAGTTAATACATAAAACAAAATGTATTGCATTTAATTAAAAATCCCTTTGCCATTGGAAGAGACGGAACGCGCATGTGACCTTCAACTCTAATCAATGCCGCCATTGGATCGAATTAGACGGACTTACAACAGCTTTTAGACTCTGTGGAGATGCCACTCAATATTTATCTTTTTTGTTTGTTTGTTCTCGTGATTCAGAAGATTTTGCGGATTAGCAAAAGAAACAGGATCTCTAGACACAGAAAAAGACGTGCTGTTCTTGCTACGCTAGCGAGACGTCGTCAAATTGTAAGTTCAAGATGAAGATGATGCTAGGTCTTTATTAGAGACGGACAGAGTACACAGCTTTATTACTTGAGTAAAAGTACAGATACCCCTGGCTAAATTTTACTCAAGTACAAGTAAAAAGTACTACAGTCAGATGTCTACTTAAGTAAAAGTACTGTACTTGTTTTTAAAAGTACTTGAGTATCAAGAGTAAGAGTACATTTTCTTAACATTGCATTACTACTGCCACAGTGCTTACATTTATCTAAAGAAACGTCCTACATGGAGTTATGAAGAATGTTATGAAGATGTTATGAATGAAGAATTTTATAAAGACGCAGCAGGTCCATCCCGGGAATGTGCCAACCCGTGGCCCCACCTCGCCAGACTATTTCAATCTTATGAATTTTCATCTTTTTACCATGTATAGAAATGTAGTGGAGTAAAGAGTACAATATTTCCCTCTCAAATGTACTTGAGTAAAGTCATGAGTACTCCCCAAAAATGATACTCGAGTAAAGTAGAGATGCCTCAAAATTGTGCTTAAGGACTATACTCAAGTAAATGTACTCTGTTACTGTCCGGCTCTGGTCTTTATATTTATATATTTACAACAGACACACAATTGATGTATTCTGTGAACAGTAAACCCTCAGTCAGACTGCGCAAACTTACACATTTCACACTCTACTGTCAGTTAGCTTTTAGACACATATTTCATTTCACCGTGTTATCAGTTTGTAATATTTTTATTTACAGTGTCAACAACCATCTCATTACTGTTCACTGAAGCGTGAAGTTCCTGTCTTGGCCTTGTACTTCAATGGCCAAAGTGCGACCAGCGACCTGCGACCAGACTTTCGCCTCTCCAGAACCACAGTAGCCCATCTGGTTGACATCCTCCGCCCTCCGTTTGACCATGGCTGGGGTCATGACCTTCTTGTGTTCTTGTTTTCCTGTTTTGGTTAGCAAGCGCAACATCTTACCGGGTCGTCTCAAGAGCGTTTGGCATCCCACGTTCCACAGTCAATGACATCGTCCACAAGGTTGCAACCAAAATCATCAAGCTCAAAAACAGGCTCATCTGCTTTCCACCGCCTCACGAGCTTGATATAATTGGTGCTGGCTTTGCACATCTGGCTGGATCTGCAGCATTCGCCAAGGTTGTGGGCAGCATCGACGGCTGTCACATCCGAGTCAAGCCCCCAAGCACAGATGCTCAGTGCTATTACAACCGCAAATTCTTTCATTCTGTCCAGATGCAAGCAGTGTGTGACCACCAGTGTCAGTTCCTGGACATATTTGTTGGCTACCCAGGCTCAGTCCATGATTCAAGAGTTTTGAAAAACAGCCCTTTGTATGTGCGTTCACTGTACCCACCTGAAGGCTATTGTATTCTGGGGGATGGTGGATCCCCATGTATGTCACAGCCCATCACGCTCATCACACCATACAGGGAGCCAGCGAGGAGTGCAGTTGCTGCAAGATTTAACAGGCACCATGCAAAGGCCCGTTCTGTGGTTGAACGGGCCTTTGGCATAATGAAGACCAGGTGGCGGTCCATATTTTTCAAGGCTCTAGAGGTGCACCCTGCTTTTGCAGTGAAGGTTATCGCCTGTTGTGCCATTCTGCACAACTTCTGCCTCAGAGACGGAGACATGCTCGAGCCTGTGGAAGAAGCACTGGGGCCAGAAGATGGAGATGGTCAGCTTCAGCAAGACCAGCAGTGTGGGGAGCAGCTGCGTGGGCGCATTGCTTCTGCTCTTTCAGCTCCAACAGCTATTCCTCCAGCTCTTCAGGACCATGACTACAATTTAGGATAGGATTTGGTTAAAGGTTTATTCCATGTAAATAGTTGCCAATAGTGTTCAATTATTAAATGTATAGCCTGTTATTAATCAGTTATATAGTCTGTAACTAATCAATCAATATATAGTTGGGTACTAACCACTTATTAATATATAGTCTGGTATTAATCAATTCTTAATAAATAGTTGGGTACTAACCACTTATTAATATAATATATAATATATAGTCTGGTACTAATCAATTATTAAACGCATAGCCTGTAATTATAAATTATTGTTCACCCATTGAAAAGTTACGTCACATTTTGTTTTGTAGATCTTAATTCTCATGTCAGTGAAACAACATGCATTTCTTTTGTTTATTTATACATCTTCTTATATTGTCTATTTATACATTGTTTATTTTTTACATCTTCTCCACTATTTTTTCCAGAAGAGTTAGCAGCCTCTCCTCTCTGGCCTCGTCTCGTCTGGCCCTCTCTTCTTCCCTCGCCTCTGCCCGCTCAAGCAGCTCCAGAACAGGATCACGCCATTGCCTTTTACGCGGCGGCCCTGGCTCCTCTACCCCTGACACACTCCCTGGCTCTGCCTGAGTCTCTGGCTCAGATAGCACTGAATCAGGGGATGCTGATGTGGACATGGAAGGGTTCTCTCCCCAGGCTGAGGCAATGAGGCATGGAGGCTGTATAGATGGCCTACCACCTATTGCCTCATCCATGAGAGAGAACCACTTCCATGTTCCAGCAGTGGCCTCCCCTGATTCAGTGCCACTCCCTGTTGGTGGACTCCTGAGCTCCTGCACACATTGCAATATAATATTGGTAGCCTACAACTAGTGTTTGTTAAACACAAAACGAAGTACTCACATTTACTAATCTTTTCATTATCTAGGACTTAGAGTGGTTAAATACAGAGTTAAATACAATAATCCAAACCTTGTACGTCTTTTTTAAGTTCTCCCACTTCTTGGCAGCTCGGGCAGGAGTCAAAACGCCTACAACAAGGCCCATCTCCTTGAACACAGCTCTACAGTGTGTGCAGAATTATTAGGCACGTTGATTTTCTAAAAATTTTTAATCCCTGGCACATTTTGGCAATTCCAAACCATATTAATCTTAAAAACTACTATTAATGTTGTATTTAATCATTTATTTATTTATTTATTCCCAAAATGTGCCTGGGAATAAAATATGTTCCGAAAATCAACGTGCCTAATAATTCTGCACACACTATACAAAACGAAATATGCATTTTGACAAACAACAAACAAATCTGTCAGTATTATTAACGGTGATGGCAATGTAGTCAAATAATAAAAGTTATAATTTCACGTATATGAATACTCAAAATACTCCTTCGCAAGAATTTGACACATCCAGCTGCCGAGGCAAAACGCTTCCCTGAGAAGAGGTGGTCCTTCTCTCTCCTCAGGCGAATAAATGTGGCCACATCATCGTCGGTCCCTGACGAGATCAAAATAAATTGACAATTCATTCTTGCTTTTATTTGTGTTCAACTTCAGTGAAATTTAGCCTCCCACAAATAAAAAACTTGCAGCACATGTATGTTAGTTTAGCGGCGTGACACATTTGTTAATAACGTTACTGTACAGTAGAGGGCTAATGTTAGCAAGCTGGGTCGTTAGGCATGATTTGTGCCGTAATGGGGCAATACGTGCTTACAAACAATTTATACATGTCTGACAAAATTGTAGAACTACTACATATCATAAGTTAAACGAGAAAGAACATAACTTACATTTGTATGACAAATTCGTATTGTCGCGCTGCTCTCCTTGACGTCCATCCGCCATTTTTACATTTTTACATTGCAGCGCAATGCATGATGGTATGTAGGGCTTGGGTTAGTGACCATCGGTTGTACACTACTTTTCAAAATGCATTCTGGGATACATTGAGTGGACTGTATAGGGTATAATAATCATCACTATACATTCGGACAGCACTACAAAATGTTGAGCTCACTATATAGTCCACTCTATAGTGAGTAGTGGGAGATTTCGGACCCAGCCTCTGTCTCCTGTCATGATCCTGGCTCTCTTTCTCCTTACTCTGTCTCCCCCTTTTGGACACACACTCACACACATACGCAGATTACCACACCATTCATCACGCACACACATCTCTCTCATCACCCCCAGCTGTTTCCACTCACTACTCGTTAGCGTGTCATCCTTTCCACACCTGTTCTCTCTTTCTCTAATTATGCCTGCTTCTTTTAGCCCTGCTTTTCCCTGTCTCTTTGCCAGATTATTTCAAGAGTATGAGACGTCTGAGCACTTACCTCTTGTTCCTGTCTTGTCCTGTCCTGTCCTGTCCTGTCCTGTCCTGTCCTCTTTAGGAGATTGTTCTATCTCTGAGTATTTGTTACTAAGCTGTGCTTGTTACAGAGTACCTGTCCAGCACCTGCCCTTCATCGTCCGCAAATATCTGACCTCCTGTGAGTTCCTGAGCTGGCTGGCACCTCTACGGTCAACCACCAAAAACGCTCTGCTTAGTGTCTGAACTAAGTCTCTGGAAGACTTTCGTTGTACATTTATTATATACTGAAGGTTTCTGTTCTAACCTCTGGACAGCATTTTCTGTTTATTAAAAGCTGTATTGCTGCAAAAGTTTATTAACAGCAGGCTTAGGGACAGAAACGCTAGGCCAGGCAGAAGGTCAAAACCACAATACCAGTCCAATCTGTTAACAGTTTAACTCAGACTACCAAGGTAAAGGGATAATTGAACAATCGTAAATCAGGCAGAATCATACACAAGACAGTCCAGCAGAAAACAATGGCAAAAGCTCGGTAATGCAGAAGAACTGGCAATACTTCGCAAAGAGCAAACACACAGGCTCCTCCCATAGACAGTAAAAGAAATGGACACAGCGACCCCATAGACTTCAACAGAGAAAAGTGAAGTCAATTAGAAGCAGTCACTTCCTGATGTGTGAGCGACTACGCAGGCTCAAACTGAGCTTGATGACGTAGATGTGACGTGAGCAACCTGTCTCACAGTTGTACGTCTTCTAGTAATTGTGCCAAGAGGAATCTGAATCATTCCCTTCCGAATCTTGCAGAGCCGGAGATCGTGAGTATTAGCTGTCAATGAGCTCGCAGCAGGAGCAACTTTACAACTCTCTATGGGCTTCTCCCTTGACTTTATGCCTTCACGTCCCCCCGATTGCCCGCGAGCTTCTACTTCCGTCTACATGGTAATTTCTCTACTGTGCGACAGAGAGTCTCGTGTTATGGCGCAATCGTTAGCCTATTTTTACAAAAAAAAACTGCTTCTACAGGGCCAGAACGTAAGATACAAGGTAATGGAGCCTTTTATACATTGTCATGTTTCTTTATAAATAAATAATGGACAAATGGAGTCTTTGGACACCTCAGATGTAAAGTTATTCGCTGTCAAAGTGACGCCAAAATGAATGGGAGTCAATGGAATGCTAACAGCAGGTGAAGGCTTGCTAGGCAATGGCGGCCCCCGGGGAGACTTCAGTTTCCGGCTGGTGGATTACCCCCTTGGGTCCTCCTAAATACTGATCAAACAGGAAATGATGTTAGAAGCAGGGGGAGCAACCCGGTTCTTTGCGGTCAAAAGTGACCGGACACCTGAAAATGAAAAAAAAAAAAAAAATAGAATTTTATGGTACTAATTAATATTTATGCAATCATTATGGTCCATTTTTGCCATTGATTTTAAAATATTTTTTCAATTAATGCAGTTTTAATATAGAGACTAGGCCTTTTAAATCCAAATTTTGAAGGCAGATCAGCGTCATCTGTTGAGAGAAAATAAAATAAAACATGTAATTTTATGGTGTTACTACTAGATGCCTGTATAGTTCTTTATAGAGAGGCTTGTGAATTCCCTACTAGTTTTTGGGCAAAATTACTTTACTAAAGTTTTAAATGATTTGAAGTGTACATGTTTTTGCATTATTATTACAGTCAAATCTGAATAATAATAATTCCTTTTGTCTTGTTGCATACAAATATATTAAAATACAATCAGACATTAGAAATTAAACTCAGAAAAAGTACAACTTGAATAAAATGCATTTTATTTATTTATTATTTTCTCACCTATGCAACAACATATTGAAACGACGCTCTGGTGTAGTGAACATTATGACAATTACCGACAACACGGTGTAATAGTTTTGATCTTCTGATCCTGTTTTTCACGCTGTGATTTTTTAAGTTGAGTGTTTTATAATTTTTGTTTTTCAGTACATGTTATTTTTATGTTAGTTTTAAAATGTTAATAAAACATTGTTACATATTCTGTGAACTTTCATTAAGAAGAAACTAAATGCATTTTGACAGGAAAATAATTAAATACAAATTCAGATTTCAGCACTTTCAAACTATGTGATTGTTTGTGATTACATATTTAAGGATAAAACGTTAGTTTGTGATTAAATATATGACTGATAGCATTCGTTTTTATGTTTAACATGCACGTTTTGATTATTCATAATAATCAGTTAATACTTATGTTACAAAGCACAGTCTGCTGTGTTAAAGGAACACTCCGACTTTTTGAAACTTTAGCCTATTCACTTTATCCCCCAGAGTTAGATAAGTCCATACATACCTTTTTCATCTCCGTGCGTGCTGTAACTCTATCTGACACACCCATCGCTAGCCTAGCTTAGCACAAAGACTGGATGTAAATGGTTGCAGCTAGCATACTAATCCAAATAAGTGACAAAATAGCGCAAACATTTTCCTATTTACATGTTGTGATTTGTATAGTCACAGAGTGTACAAAAAACAAAGTCACATGAGACACAGACATATTTTAACCGTATAAATACTGGGAACTATATTCTCTGAAGGCGAAGCACTGCTACTTTGGCGGAGTGATAACCGCAGCACCTGAGACGCGCCGTGGTGAGGAGCAGAGAGCTGCGGTTATCACTCCGCCCAAGTAGCAGTGCTTCGCGTTTAGAGAATATAGTTCCCAGTATTTATACGGTTAAAATATGTCTGTGTCT